ACAACAATGCAAGTTTTATAGACTCTTCATTCTTTTTATTAAATATGAGAATATGAAATATTCAGATTATCTTTGCTAACTTGAATAATGCTAATGATTGTCTGTTTCAGAGAACTGGCAAGGCCAAACACTCCTGTATTCAGTACTAGAATGCTTTTTGGTCTCTTCACCCAGGGCAGTTTTAGAATTATAAGTATCCTACAATTAGTCTGTCATTTATGTTTTTGCTTTAAGCATCTGTCCTAAAACATCTTTGCTAGAGATTAAATGCAAACAAACAAAATGGCTATGTGTGGCAGTGAGATGCCCTCACAGGCTCCCAAAGGGGAGGGGGCAGTCACCATGGGCCACAAGCCACACAAGCAGCACCCCCCTTGGGGAAACTTATCTCTGGGGGATCAGCCAGAGCTGGAGGAGGAGCTGTGGCAGCAGCCACATGAGCTGGCGTTACGCTGGCTGTTTAATTAGTTGTTCCCTGGGTGGGGAACAGCAGAGCCAATCGTGGTGGCCGGAGCAGCCGTTGCAGGAAGATTTAAGAACCCCACTGGAACCTGGCCGGAGGGTGGAGAGGGAGCATGCCTAGTGTGGTGAGGCTCCTGTGGCAGACAGGAACTCTGCAGCTATGCTCAGTGCCAGCATCCAGAGCCAGGGGAAGCTGAGCCCCTGTAGAAGGCTGGGAGGGAGAAGGCAGTTCCACCACCTCTCCAACCCCACCCTTTCCAACGGTCTACTTGATAAAGAGCTTTGGAAAGCGTCCCGCCCAGAGGTGGCAAGGAGGATGCCAGCTGACGGAAGCCTAGCCCATCAGCATCCAAGGCAGAGATGCTAGCTGTCATGACAGCCAGGCTAGCCCATCAGAACCCATGCTGATGCCTGTCCCCCTCACGAAAGGGGTCGACGGGGTATGGCCGATCTACGCAGGCGGCGCCTATTTGGTTGGCGAGTGGATGGGGTGTAGGGGAGGCAGAGCCCCGTAGAACATCACATCAAGACTGTGAGTACTACTGTCCCTGGGGTCCCCCAGGAAGAAGATCGCCACTGAACTCCTACCCTTCATTCAGTAACACCAAGTCGTGGCAGGCGATTTGAGGGGAGGGGCCCCGCATCAGATGGATAGCATGTCTCCCAACGTAAACCCCACCTTTGGCGCAGCCACACTATGTCACACTGTACTTGCACCTAACAGGAATTTTCTGTTCATTTTGGCTACCTAGTTACCTATTGATCCATGTGACCCCTCTCTGGATGCAATTTCTTAGCAATTTGGGATTAGGACTCTTGGTACTTACCTGCCTAACACAATGGGGTTTTGCTCCTTTGATTGGGATTCCTAGATATAAACATCAGTTACATTTGGACAAACAAAACACTATTTGGAATCACATGCAGAAACACATATATATTGGATGGAAATTGGGACAGATGATAAAGGAACATTATCCTCCCCCCTCAACATATTCATCCCCATAGTTGACTGTCCTAACCAGTGATTTGATCCAATTCCCTCTAAATGGCATTCTCCTCTTGATTTCAGTGCAAGCAGCATCAGGCCTTAAGGTCTTGTTATAATTAAGTTTTCAAATCTCATTTCCTTTCACAGGAGAGAAAACATATTGTTGTGACTAAGCTTTGGATGTGGTAATGAATCCCTGGCAGGTTGGTTTGTTTTAACGGATGCATTACTTTTAAGGAAACTTTTACTGTCTTTCTACCCTTAATCATAGCTTTTATTACAATTACAGCAATGCAACAGATGTATGTGCCAAAGGTAATACGTGTATTTTTAATGACTTGACAAACAAACTTCCTGGAGAGGAGAAACACATCCATTTGCTGAATGTTTCTGAACCATATCTAATAGCTTATTAAAGGACAAGAAGTCAATCAGAACTGTATTTACTACCACTGTTTCATATGCTATGCTAACTCACAAATGAGTGTCTATACAAAACAGGAATTTGACCAGGCAGATTGCTGAACTAGATAACAACAAATCTGCATTAAATCCAGGCACATATTGTGATTTTTTTTCTACTTCTTAAACTGTTTGTAAATATATAAAAGGTCTATGGGCTTCTTTCTGCAAACTCTTTCTTCCACAAATAGCATTAACTCATACATGTATTTTCTTTGAAGTCTATGAGCCATATCATCCCATCAGTTTCCAAAGAGAATTTCTCAAGAAATCAATGGGGAATGCTGAGCAACACTGAATGACACTATTTAGCCCCACAGACTGGCTGCAAGACACAGAAGGTGAGACCCTAAGTTACTGTAACATCAGTGTGACCACACCACATGAAAATTAGGCCCTAAAGCCAAAAACACTCTTGCTTTCTGGGCTGCTTATATTGTTGTGGCAGAAAGTTCTAGAAAAAAGTTTGGCAAATAGTGCATTATTTTAGTTTACACTATGCTACTATACAGCTGTTCACACACTGCAACTGAAGCCAGGGTACTGAAAGGAAGAATGTGAGAGACTACTGTGCCAGGTGATCATGTACATTTACTTCCCCAGTAAGGCAATATTAAATGGATATAGATTTCTATAACATATAATATATTGCTTATCCTACAGAGGAATTTTTAAATTAGTAACTAGAAGCCTGACTCTAAGAGGTGCAAAGTATTCCCATTGGTCTAAAATTTAATTTATTTATAACAGTCAACCCAGTTTGCTTTGGAGTGACTGTTAACATAATTTGTTCTTTACTGAGGCAATCGTTTGCTTTTTACTGTGGCACTGTCCAATTCAGATGATAATACCTGTCCCCTTCACAGGTATTATCTTCATCTTCAGAGAGTCTCAGTAGTGCCAAATGGAGTTGTTACAAATATACAGATTTGCCCTGGCAGGGGGACATCTGAGCGTGCTTTTTTTTCATTACTATTAATGAAAACAAAACTCTCTTCTTGTGATTACAGTTGCATTACACAGCACAACCATTTTCAGAGTATTTTCAACTTCTAATTTATTGTAGCATCTAAAATATGTAGATACTTATTAAAGGACAGAACTTCTTATTTATTGTAGCATCTAAACAGTTTCCTTCGATTTTTATTTTGGTACCTCAATAGAAATGGCTGAATGATTTCTTATCTGAAAGCTGCCTTATCCCTAAAATAAAAGACACTTATACATGCTGTACAATATAGTTTCATAGTTTCATAGTTTCTAGGGTCGGAAGGGACCTGAGCAGATCATCTAGTCCGACCCCCTGCCATGGCAGGAAAGAGTACTGGGGTCAAATGACCCCAGTAAGGTGGTCATCCAACCTCCTCTTAAAAACCCCCAGGGTGGGAGCCTGCACCACCTCACTTGGAAGCTGGTTCCAGACTCTAGCCGCCCTGACCGTGAAGTAGCGCCTCCTGATGTCCAACTTAAACCTTCCCTC